TTTATGTTTAACACAAATTGAATAAAGAACGAAAATGCTGAAAAACTCTTGAAATACATAGAGTTTATACGAATATTAACAAATAGCAATTTAGATATGCCATGTGTACATCAAAATATCTGGTTAAAATTAACATACACATATTTTTTTAAGGTTTTTGAACAAGTTGCATATTACTATTAGTGTTTTTATCATAGAATTTCAAGAGAGAATCAAAGACTTACGTTGAAACCATATAGAATAAAGCTAAATAAGTAGAACTATTTAAAGAGAATATTTTCTGAAACTGAAATTAAAAAAAAAAATATGAAAAATAATTGATACAATGTTGATCAATCTGCTGTTTTAATATGAGAAATACCACCATTTTATTCGAGAATAAGGAAAATTTCTTAATTCAAGAGAGTATTTTTAACAATAAATTCTCTTTGGTAAGTAAAATTTAAAAAATGACAAGTTTATTGAAATTAGCAGCTTTGAAGTACTTGTACTAGTTGTAATTACTAGAAGTGAAGCTTGAATTCAAATCATTTGTTTTTCAAATTCAGTTTTATGGTATGTACCCGAAAACACGTTCAAAGAATTTCAAAATTTCTCATTTGTGTGATTTTGGTGTTTTAGAGGATGATGATTTTTCAGAGAATGATGGTGATGCAGAGAATGATAAAATTCATTATCAAAGAATGATTATCATAATTACATAACATAAAATTCAAACCTTTTCCATTAAATTATTAAAAATTCTATTGAAGATTCAAATGGGTTATATAATACGACATAAAAACCCATTTAAAGAATTTTAATACTTTCGAAATAAGTTTCTTGCCAATTTGAGATTTTTTCGGAAAAGTGTTAGACTCCAATTTCTGTATAGTTTTAATAGCTTTATAATTTAAAAAAAACATTACTAATTAAGGTTAAAAATTTAAATATTTGATAATTTTGATTATCACTAATCCATGAAACAATCTGCTGTATATGAAAAGGTCAAACAATATAATTTCGACTATTTAAAAAATTTTCTAAGTGACACTTAAATATAAAATTTTTAATAAACACTTAAATAAAAACTGAAAAATCTGCTGTGTCTTTAGACAACACTCAAGAACAGAATTATGACAAAGCAAAAACAACAAAATTTGTTCACCCTTTTAATTTTTTAGCCTAAGTATTTAGGTAAATTATATTTGCGATTTAATATTGATTACGAAAATATTGTGGGCATTTATTTTAAGAGAGTTACTAGGATAATGAAAATTTTACATTTATTTTTAGCACTTTTCCAAAAAATTTTTGAAAAAAGTGTTTATTAGTTTCACTCCGTCCGTCCGTACTTGGAGATGTTTACAAAAGTTCTACACTCTTGAAAATAGAAAGCTGAAATTTAATATGTCCATAGATCTTTATTAGCAACTTATTTCTCCAGAAGAAAGTTTTTACCTATCTCCCCCCGTCTAGAAGTTATACCCCCCTAAAATCCTAAAAATGTCATTTTTTAACTATTTGTTGCAATGAAACCATAAGCATTTTTCAAATTTTGCCAACGAAGAAAGGCAGTGGTTTGTTTCTCCTATCGGGGCATACTATAGCTGAACTATAAAAAAACAAAATGGCCGTTCAAATTTACCGCTCAAGTTATCGAGTCATGAAATTTATAAAATTTGAATTTTTGACGCCTTATATTTCCGAAACCGCAAGCTTTTTCAAATCTTTATAAACGCAGGAAGCTAACAGCAAATTCCATGACATTAAAAAGTATAATTATTTTTCTTAATTCAGGCAATTAACCTTTAAAATCGAGTATTATGTTAACCCTTCTTTATATGAATTTTTACTTTATTTCAAAGACTGCATAAATTGTTCATCCTAAATATCATCCTAAAATATATGCAATCCTAGAAATAATTTTGTATATGAATGAAAATAATTTTAATAGTGTGGTAAGTATACATAGACTATATTTAAAAGCAGTATTTTCATTTGTTGAAGGGAAAAATTCTACAATACAAACCATTGGTTTGAGCCAACTTTATTAATATTAATAATAAAATAAGTAATTTTACAATTTGTAAAATTAAAATTAAAATTCCGAACGGCATAACAATATATAGGAAAATAATTTATTTAAAATATAATTTTATGCTATAAAAAAAGTACAAGAGGTTAAGTATTGTGAATGTTTAAAAAATAAAGTTGGGTCAAACCAATGGTTTATAAATCTAGCACTTTCTTTTTAGAAAGTGAAAATACTGCTTTTAAAAACAATGCATGTACTTCATTACTAAAATTACATTCATTCATGCACGAATACATTTCAAAGATTGCATACATTTAGGATGAGCAATGTATGCAATCTTTGAAATAAAAGAGCAAGAATTTAAAGAGACGTTAGTATAATACTCGAATTAATTGCGAAAGTTAAGAAAAATAATTATATTTTTTAATGGCATGAGAGGCGAAAACTTGAGAGGGGGCGCGGAGATTAAACAAAATTATCTTTTAACGAAATGAACTATTTGTTAGTTTCTAAAAGCTGCTAAAATTTCAGTTTTTTCTATTTTAATATTAATGTATTTTAAATAACAGTACATTTCAACGTCAATTTTATTTTTTTTAAAGGTCAAATACCGAAGTCGTGTTAGAAAAAGCCGGCCATTATATGTTTTTCCTTTTGAAAAATTTGTAAAATACTTATGGTGTCAATGCAATAAATAGTTAAAAAATGACATTTTTAGGGTTTTAGGGGGCTATAAATTTTAGAGGGAGGCAGACAGGTAAAATATTTTCTTCTACGAAAATACGTTTCTGGTAAAGATCTATGGATATATTTAATTTCAGCTTTCTATCTTCAAGAGTGTAGAAGTTTTGTAAACAGACACACGAACGGACGGACAGAGTGAAATCAATAAGCTTACTTATTTTTAAAATTTTTTTGGAAAAGTGGTATTAATATGGAATTTAAGTTAAAATTAAATTAATCAATGTAATCATAAAATTTGTTCCACATGATGTGAAAAAAATATAAGAAAAATATACCTTAAATTTCTTGAAATGAAATTTTCTAAATACACGAAACAATTTTAACCAAAGACGAAAATATCGATTTTATTAAAGTATACAAAACACACACACACAACACACAAGAACCCAAATATTTGAATATGTTTATATAGTATATAAAACCACAATTTCTTTTAACAATTTTTTATTTGAAGACGTATCCGATCTGAATATAAAGAACATTTATAACAATAGGAATACAAAAACAATTTTTTATATTATTAACACCTTTAATATTATTTAAAATGTAAATTCAACTTGTAACTTTAATATGAGTACATAAATTCTTTGAAATAGAAATTTAAACCTTCTATCAAGTGTTTTAAAATCTTCAACAATATTAATTGAAAACTGTCTTAGAACTTTTATCTACATACATTTACGAAAATATCAAAGAAAAACGAATTAAATAAATTTTTCTACAAATTGTTCAATGTGGCACTACATTAAGTTGTTTATACATATATAGGAATTAGTTCCACATTACGAAAATTATTCATTAGTATCATAAAATATAATAGCACCTATTCTTTGGGAAGAAATATTTAATGTGAGCAATTGAGCAATGGGCGCATACAATTATTTATATGAAATTTTGAATCGGTACAAATTTTCAAGAAAATATTAAATTGCATAAAGGATGCAAATAGAGTTTCAAATGTGAAAAAAACGTAAACCTAACAACGCCCCTTAGCGTTATTTACATTTTCATTTCATAAATTATAATTAAGGCGCTTTTATAATGTTGTGTGTGTTAGGTACGTTCAGAATTTACTCATTTAAAAGAGAAGTGAATAGTTGTTGGTAGTTGAGATAAAATGAAAAAGGGAAGGGATTGGAGGGCACTTATTATTTCTCGAAAAATAATGTCTAGTATCGCACAAATATAATAGAAATAGTAGGAAATTTTAAAAACTTCAGCATCATCTTATAATTCTGAATCTTAAAATTTTTTAATTTAATTAAAAAACCGGTTGTACTACGCCTAAAAATATTTTAACTTAAATTTTTTTTAAGGATATTTAAATATTTAATTTTATCTTTCTTTTTATTTTTTTTTTTTTTGTATTTTGCATATTGAATTTTTCAATAAATTTAATTAAAAAGTTTAATATTAAGTTAACGGATTCTTAGCGTTTTTTCTTAGTGTTTTACATACATACTTATATAGCCAATATCTACGCATTACCATAAAATTTTCTTTGATTCAATATTCTAATTCAATATTTCTTTTCAAATCCCTGTAGGACATTTTCGGAAACCCATAAAATTTTCCAAATTAACTAATTATGTTTTTCCCAGTTTTCTTTCAATTTATTTATTGTACAAAGAATTTTCCAATATTTTTTCCATTCATTTTACTTTTTCTCTGTGTTTTTATCTAAAAGTTTACATTCCATTTCTGTAACGTTATTCTTTAGTGTGTTATCTTCAACGTGTACATACATACATAAATATCTAGCTCTATAATTATATAGATTATAAATTGAATTTATAATTTAAACGAAATTTAAATATTTAAATTATAAAATATAATATATTTAAATTCTAATTATCTGTAAAAATTCACCGGAAACCAAAATAAGGATCAAATAACTTTTATAATTTGGAATCGAATAACTCGTAAAACAGGAGCAGAATAAAAAAAAACAACACTATATATGTATGTACGAGTATTTAAAAAGTAAAAAAAGTAAAGCAGTAGATTTTCATTTATATAACGATTACACATACGTACAAACATAAAATGAGTACGTACACAGGACCAAAAACAACAAAAATAGAAGATAAAAAATAATAATAATAAAATGGCTATTTACGCTCTATTTCAATTCTTATATAGTCTTCATTATATTTTTTGGTGGAAAAAAAATAAATGGTAATTTTTATTTTAAGAGAAAGAGAAAAAAAAAATTACTTAGTTTTAGTATTTTTTTTACCTTAGGTGGAGCTGATGGTACATTTACGTCAGTTGGTATCGTTTGTTCAACAATTTGACTATCCTGATGTTGTTGTACATTAATTGGTAAATTTACATCAGGTGGTGTTATTGGATATGGCATATGTGGTGGACGATGTTGTACAATCATTTCTTCTTCACGTTCCGGTTGACTTGTTGCCGTTTGAATTTTATCTTTTTCAGCTTCAGCTTCAAGTTGTTTTTCAAGTGATGGTAAATTTTCTAATTGAATTTGTTCATCCAAAATACTATCGAATGCAGTTTCAAATGCTGAATTACTACCAACACCACTACGACCACCGCTATCTCTCATATTATTATTTACTGATGTATTTGTAATAGAATTTACTTTACCATTATTACCACTACCTCGCCCATCACTATTTATACTACCAGAAGGAGATCCATCAGTATTGATTCTATCATTATCATTGACGCCAATACCAACATTACCAGTATTATCGCCGGCACCATTGTTTTGATCATCAGAATTTTTATTGTCAAATGATAATGATGCCATATCTAAAGGAGAATTTTTAAGATGTTCAAGCTCGATAACATCTTCATCGGGCTGAAATGAAAAGCAAAAATATAAAGAGAATTAGAACAAAAAATACCAAAATGAATAAGTTAAAAAAAAGAAAATAAAGAAAATATTTAATATGATTATTTGGCATCAAATATTATAGGGGCGGGAGAATATGGAAGAGAGAAATAAAAAATAATTTTTTTTTTGTTGTTAATTTTACTTTCATTATATACAAAAACAATGAGTATTAAAAAGAAAACAGTTCTTAAGGAAAAGCCACCACAAAGCAAGAATCCAAAAAAAAAAAGCAAAAATATTTTTCTGTCAAGGATAACGATTTCATTTTACGCTAATAAAAAAAAAACAAAAGCAAAACAACCAAAATCCATAACTTTATAATAAGATGAACATGTGAACGGTTCTTTCCAGCATTGTTTTCCAAATGGAAAGTTTTAATGAAGCGATGGGTGTTGTTGTTCCATAATTTTGAAAAAACCGTTATATCTGCATCATTTGTAGAATAAGGCTTGCTTCATTAAGGCTTTTGAAATTTCCTAATCAAAGGTTTTAAACGATCAAATTTTATAAATAATTTTTATAATAAAAAAAATATTACATGATAACTCTTAACTCTATACCACAAAATGTGGAGAAGATTTTTTAGGTTTTTACTAAGATTTTTAATTCCCAGTTTCACCGCGAATTTTTCGTAAAACATTCAAACTTTTAAAATTTCTACAAAATTTTTTCTTTATTTTTTCAAACCAATTTTAATTTTTTTTCAATTAAAACTGAACCAAAACTTTTGATGGAAAATTTTTTTTCAGACTACATTGGAATACACGTGTGGAAAAAGTTTCAAAACTTTAAAAATTGGGAACTTTTAAATTCAATATTTTTAAGTGAAATTTCTCTCACAAATTTATTGATTAAATTTTTTTAACTTTAATCTTTTTGTAAGCATTTTTGGAAATAAAATTTTTAATATAAAAATTTTATTTTTTTTTTTAAATAGCAAAATGTCGCCATATTAATACAAAATGTCCTTCATATGAAAATTTTATTTACGAAAATGCATATACAAGAATTTTATTCAAATGCTACTCACAATGGAGTCATTTATGTGAAATTCTTGAATTTTACAAGGTCTTCATTTAAATTTCATTCCAATTGTACATGTGGGCAAATTTAAATTATCCTTATTTTCCATATGTTCACAAGTAATTTTCATATAAAAATTTTAGGTAATTAATCTTGTTTGAAAAAGTTTTTGTTTTAGACTTGAACAAAATTCAATAGAGTCCTTTTCTGAAAATAAATTTATTAGGAATTCAATTGTCTTGTATATGATACGAACAAATTGTATTTATAGATGGCAACTAAATTAAAGAAAATTTATTTTCGAAAGTGTTAAGTGAAAATATTTTATTTTATTGTAATTATTGAAAAATCAAACGAATAGGGCTTAACCAAAAGTAACTAATGGTCTTAGAACTGAAATGTTCTTAATTTACTGAAACATTATTTTTGTAAGTCCTTCTCGGAAAGAATATACTTATTAGTTTCTATGAGAAATTTATAAATTGGACAAATGCAATTATATGGCAATTACTTATATATTAAAAAAATTGTAGACAAATGTCAGGATGTTAAAGGAATCCCGTAAATTAACCTTAAAATCATTTTTCATTAATTTAGTTTCGTTTATTCTCTAACACAATTTACTTAAAGGAAGCATAAATATTTTAATATTTTGTAAGTATTAATAGAAATATTAAATCTCAAATTAGGAAAAATTGCCAACTTTTGTCCATTCTTATTAATTGGAAGCTATATGTAAGTTTTATGTAACAGCGATGTTCTTTTCGTCGGAAAATATTGCTTAAATTCAATATTTTTACAATAATAATTTTTTTAAAAAAATTCTCCTAAATATATGCAACATAATGTTTTAATAATAAAATAACTTTCATAGAACACAATTTTCATTATTTAAATCTACCAATTTAAAACTATAAAAAGCTTAATTTTATATACCATAGCAGATTTGTCAAAAAATAAATTTTGTATTAGTTTATTACCTTAGAGTGTTCAAAACTAAAAATTGGTTATCCTTTTTACGAATGAGCTCTACTTATTCGACATATAAGGTTCCGATTTTATAGAACGTATATACTACTCTGACATTTCAAATTTGAAAAATTATTAAATGACCGAAGAATTTTCATCTTGTGTACCCTTAAGAGCGGAGCAACTACATCTAATTCTAAGTACATTCCAATTCTGAGAGCAAAAAATAAAAACGCCCAAATTATTGCTATTTTTTTCTCTCTTATATTATTATTAAAAGTAAATCTACTATTTTTACAAAAACGCATTTTTCACAGTGTAGTACAAGAAAAAGCAAAAATTAATTAAAAAAACAGCGATTTGCTACAAAAAACACCACCGACCGTCATTCAAGGAATTTTTCTATTTCATATTATTCGATAAATTTCTTTTGACCTTAAGATGGAAATTCGATATTTTCTTTTTAATTATTAAAGTATTATCGAAAAGTCTATAAATAAAAATAACTTGACAATGAAATAAAGTACTATTCATTTGATATATTTTCTTGAAGCTTAAATGTGCCCCCAGTTACACGTTATACATTGTTATTCTTCACCCCACTATACAGCAAAAACAGGATAGAAACAAAAGAAAAGAATAAAAGAAACAATTATCATAGTTAAGGATTTTTTCATTGATTTCCTTAAAAATTCTTTTTCTCTATAAATTACGGAAAAATGGACATTTCAAGTGGATAAAAAGAAAATTTAAGAGAGCAAAAGAGAAAGAAAAAAAAGAAAAAATTAAATGAAAATAAATTTTGTGATTAAATAAGAATTGAAACGCTTATATTCTTAGTCATTACAATCATGGGTTTTAATTTTTCGGTTGATATAAAATTGTTAAAAAGGATAAAAGAAAAAAGAAAAGATTAATATTTTTTTTTATCGCCGCCCAAATGTGATTTTTTTTTTGGGAAAAAGACACCGCATATTCAGGTTATTTAATGTTCTTCTTGGAAATAATGCAAAAAGGATCTTTTATTTTTCAAAATTTTTCTATAGAAAACAAAACAAAAAAGGTATTAAGATTTAGTTTTGTTCGGTAAAAAGGCCAAAACTTTAATTAATTTTAATTTTAAAAATAATTTTTATGAAAAGAAAGACGTTTTTGTTGTGGTTTCATTTTCTTTTATTTTCGTACTTACCAGCCATTCTTAACACATTTGAGTGACTTTCAAAAAATAATTTTTTTTTTGATTTTAAGAGATGACCCATAAAAAAACAACGTGCCCGTAAGAATTTATAATATTAAAAAGTATGTGTGTTAAACAAAGATAAAGAAACAAAAGAATGAGATACCGGATATTTATATAACAAAACGAAAAACAAAACAAAAGTAAAGGATATTCGGAAATTCATAACGTTACCTATAGCAAAGTATATCGTTTTTGTTTTCTTTAGTTTAAGGTACAAGCCACAATGAATCCAGGCATTGTGGAACGTACCAACCACAGATGGGATGGAACAACGTGTAATGAAAGGAGGAAGCTGCGTCGGACAAGAGACCTGATATGTCTTCAATGGGAGAATATCGGTCCTGTAATAAGGGTTCTGACGAACATATGACGACGTTGATTGACGAACATAAAGAGGATGGGCTGGCCCTTAAACGATCCCTGTAGATGCTACTATGACGAATAGGAAGAGGAAATGGTGATCCACCATCTATGCTCATGTTCGGCGCTGGCAAATTCTAGGCAGAGATTTCTTGGCGGATTTAGCGGATGTAAATATTAGAGATCTTAGTCGGATTGTAAGGAATTCGAGTTCGTTCGAACAAGGGGCGGAAATCAAGAGATCCGGCTGTACCAAAATGGGCTTAGGCGACCTAGGGTACACCCTTTAGGGGGCCACGTTATCTAACCTTACTTAGTTGGAGTCTTCATTCCTACTAGGTTTAGATAAATGGGCTTAGAACTCGATTCTTGGACAAACAGCATTTTGGGTACTGTAATAATAATGATAACAAGTATTATTTACAGAAATATGAGTTAAGCCCTAGATGATAAACACATTAGCATTTTAAAAATGGCATTAAGCTGTTATTTATTTGAAGAGTGTGTTGGGTGCTTTTTATAAAGCTTAAATGTTCTAGTTTTTATGCTCAAGAAATTATTAACGATTCGGACTCTCATATTTAATAGCTAAAATTTATAATCTAAAAGCAGATTCTTTTATCTCGATAATTGGAAAGTTAATTGAATTATTAATTTTCATAAATTTTTAAAAATTAAAGAGATTTAAGTTTAACAATCATCATAAATTATTCAAGCAAATGTCGTCAATAAAATAAACTAAAAATTGCATACTTCTAGGGAACGATTACTTAATTACACTATGATTAATGAACAAAATCATTATTAAATTATACAATATTTTTTTTAAAGTAACTAACTATATTGCTAATTAAATTTTAAATATATAAAATTATTTTGAAATGAATACAAAAAATTTAATGTGCATTAAAGCTACGAGAATTTTTTTTTTCGCAAAAAAACAAAACAGATTTTCATTTTCATTAATTTCAAATCAATAAATTACAGAAATCAAATTCTTAGAATATAATTTATTACCATAGGATATTTTATATATGGTAATACTATATATAGAATATATGTATATATATGTATATATAGAAAATCATGATTTAATGATTTAGCAATAATTTGTATTTTTCTTCCTTCTTTGGGCGTTTTGTTTTAGATTTATAATTAAATTATATGAGATGTATTTGTTTTACCTATAATTAATATTATTATATAATACTTATATGCATATATATATAGATAATTAATTATAATTTCAAAAAACTGTTTCACATTAATTTTGATATATATATATATATATATATATATTTGTGGATATAACATCTATTATAATGATTATTTAATTAAAAAGTCCATGTTCTTTAATGACAGATTAATGTGG